GTGATCAAGTATATTAAGAGTATATCATATATTAAAATTAAATTATTCTATAATAAACTAATTAAAAAGTAAATAAGATGTTCCAATTTTTTGTATTGGCGACATGCCATAATGTCATTATATAATTTTTTTTATCATGTTTGGTATATCAATATTTTGTAAACACGAACAAATTTTATATACTTTAAAATAATTCAGATAAATAGTTTGAAATTATTTTTTACTTTTGAATCTTTACTTTTATTATATTGTAATATCAAATAAACTCTGTAATTAAAAAAATGGTTAAATAAATACACTTTTTAAAACCTAAGAAAACATCTTGAGGGAAATAAAACCTTATATATGAACATTTTGTAACGTTGGTATTAAATATTAATAACTGATACAACAATTTTGTAAGTTTAGGCCAAGGTTAACTCATGTTGACACACCATTGACAATTTTGTACTAGATTTTTTCTCTATCAACTAATATTAGAAAATACAATTTTTTAAAAAATGTTATGAATTTCATTTATTAATAGATAAAAAATAGTTTTGAAAAACTAAAAAAAAAATTATGTTACTTACGATCTTAATTTTTATATAGAGTATTTTATGTAAATACTCATCAATATATGAATAAAAAATAAATTTATATAAAAACCTATCATTTTGTTAAAAAAATTGTAGAAGCTATATATATTTAGATAATATAAAAATCAAATTCTGTAAACCAAATATGTGATCAATCAATTTCAAAAATATTTAAATTTCACAAATTTTTTACACGTGTTTATCTATAAATTATTGCATATTTCACTTTATAAGTTTTATCTTTCCGGTCACATGTGGACTCAACATTTTTTTTTTTCAATAGTGGACACGGACTATAACGAAAATATTCCAAAAGAATACACTGAATTCTAGAGCAAAATTGAAAATATAGTATTCAAATGAAAATATTTATATATATCATTGTCTGGTTCACTTTCATATAAAATATTTAAAAATGATGTTTGAATTTGTATAAATAGAAATTGTGAACATAAATCTTAAATCATTTAGTATATCAATGTTAGTGTATATATATATATAATATTAAAATAGTTTTAAAATCATTCGTTCCGCGCAACGCGTGGATTTTCACTAGTAGTCTATAAAGTTAAGAAATACATAGGATTATCAAAACAACTTATATTTTGAAACATAAAAAACCTCCAAAACAACTTATATTTTGAAACGGATGGAGTATCACTTACTACTTCCTCTGTATCATATTAGACGATGTTTAAGAGAATTTTTTTTGTTTCATAATAGATGATGTTTTCAATATTCTATGTAAAATTAATTGTATTTTTGTTGTTTTTTATTGTTGAAATTATGCATATTGTTTTTAATTAGTTGAATTGTTTTGAAATTGATGATAAAACATGTTTTATTTTGAAAAATAAAATATAAAATAAATGATTTGTTAATCTACACGTGCAACAACTTTAAAAATCAAGTAATATATAACCATTAATAAACTATTGATCAACTACTACGCTAAAAAAGCTTGTATACATAAATCTTAAGTTGGGTCGGTCAAATAGCAGATGAAACTTAAAAAACTTACCAAGAAACGGTTTGATAAGTCACCACGTTCTCTTGTCTCCAGAATTGAATCGGATCCTTCTCTTTAATTGCTTCCGACATTGAAATATTTGTTTATTCTTAGTTTTCATTTCTCATTAATTCCTTTGTTTGATAACTAATCGAGTTAATATTCTCATTAGTGACATATTAGCTTTACTTATTTGTTAGCGAGTTTGAAATGTCAGTCGTGCCTTTCAATGGGGAAACAACCTGATACATCTGGAATAATGTTAAACAATTGGATTCGAATTGTCTTTTTTAGAACTTACCATTTCAAAATTCTAAAAGGAATAATTCGAATTTCGTATGGAGGCATTTGGAAGATTAATACACGTGTATAATATGAACTTGAAATTATGATAAGTTTTGGTTATTTATGGACGTCAATAGCCTATTAGACTATTTAATTTAATTTAATAAATTATATAAAAGCACAAGTGACACAAGAGTTTCTAATAAGTTTGTTAAACTAGTATACTTAGGGTTCGGCACAGATACCCGTTTCGCACCCTTTAGTCGTTACCTGACTCGTATCCATCTAAAAAAATAGGGTACCCGTAACGTTCGAATCGGATAAAAGATACTATAATTTTGATACCTGCGGGTAAGGGTCGGGTAAAAGATATCAATTTTTTTTATTATCCGTCTCTTTACCCGTCTTTGTACTCGATTTGCTACCCGATCCGTAAATACTCGCATTCTATATCACTAATATTTGATAAATTTAGTTATAAAATAAATTGTATAATATATAGTATAGTATAAATACTCGTAACATCAATCTTTTGTATTTTTGAATTGTCATCGATAATTTTGGAGATTATGGATTACAAGTTTTAAGTTTCGAAGTTTGTAATCTTATATTTTATGAACTATATGTTGTCTTTAAGAATTTTTTTTTTCCTTTTCGTAATAACTACTCAATTTCTTTGGTATACAAGTTGCTTAACTTTAATTATAGATAAATTATATTACAATTGGGCGGATAAGGGTAATGGACCGGGTATCCGGCGGGTACTCGTTTTTTTTTGCCGGGTACCCGATGAATAGGGTACTCGTTTTTTGCGGGTCGGAAAAGGGTATTATTTTTCAAATATTCATTAAGGTCGGGTCGGATAACGGGTACTCCAAATTTTCAAAGTACCCGTCTTATGCCCAATACTTGTATATGATATTAGAACATCCACAAAGAAGGTCCAATTATACCTTTATGGCAAGTCCGATGGCGGATGG